TCTGCCGAGGAACTGGAGACCAGAAAGAGACTGCAGATGTCACGATTCAGACGCATCAGCTTTATGACATGACAGCTTTATTTTTAAATCTGAGCATTACTAGGATAAGCAAATGACTACTTGAAAATAGATGACCATTCCTCAGTAAGATCAACACAGAATGACCATATGACCAGATATTCTTAAGAATGGAAAACAAGAGTTGAAACAAACACAGGTGTTCATACTGTTTGTAGCAGCACTGTTCAAAATAACCAAGAGTGAAAAGAACCCTAACACCTACCAGTGAGTGAACAGACACAGAAAATGTGGTATGTCCATACCACAGAGTATTATTTAGCCACCAAAAGGAATGCAATGCTATACATGCTGAACCCTGAACATACCCTGCTAGATGAAAGGAACCAGGCATAGTTCCATTTGCTTGAAATGTGCAAAGTAAGCCAAGCCCTGGATGAAAGATGCAGAGCTCCATTGCCAGGAGCTGGAAGGAGGGAGTAACAATTCGTTGTTCAATGGATTTCCATTGGTGGCGATGAGAAAGTTAGAACCAGACAATAGTGATGGACATATACCATAATGAACAGACTAAATGATGCACTTTAAAACGGTAAACTTTATATGTCATGTGTAATTTTATCATAATTAGACATTTAAAGACCTGACCACACATTCTGAAACATACCCCATACTTAATAAGCATCAGATTTGGACAAATAAGCCCTGGAAATATAACTACAGATTGTGCTAGCTAATCCTTAGATGCCAGGGCTAGCATCAAGCATTGTATTCTAGACTCTCTTTCATTTGTGTGTATGCTGACCCCGGGCTTGAACTCGGGGGCTGAGCACTGTCATTGAGCTTTTTTGTTCAAGGCTAGCACTATACCACTTGAGCCACAGCTCTATTTTCAGCTTTTGATGGTTAATTGGAGATAAGTGTTTCACAGACTTTCCTGTCTGGGCTGACTTTGAACCTTGATTCTCAGATATCAGCCTCCTGAGTAGCTGGACTTCTAGACATGAGCAACTGGCATCTGACGTTAGCCTGTGTTTCTAAAAGTATATAAAAGGAAATTGAAATATAGGAAGAAAAAAGCCCACATCTCATAAGTGGCACACAGTGGAGCTGAGATTTGGACCCAGGCAGGAGTCCCTGGGAAGCGGAGCATTCACTCAGAAGTGAGCTGAGCTGACCCCTGACCACGCAGGTTGTCTTTAGCTCTTTAAAGAGCCTGCATTCTTATTTCCTTTATTCTTTTTTTTTTTTTTTTTGCAAAGGAAAGGAAGTAAACATTTATTCATTTTTCTTTTTTCAATGTTTTTTATTGTAAAAATACTGTACAGAGGGGTTACAGTTACATGAATAAGGTAATGAGTACATTTCCTATTGAGAATTGTTACCCCCCCTTCCTTTGTTTTTCCCCTGACATCCCTTCCCTTCCGGCCTCCCCAACTCCTCCTCCCTTCCCCCCCCCCCCCCCCCCGCAAGTTGTGAAGTTGGGTTTCAACATAGTGTCTTGTACATCTCATTGTTACAATGGGTCAACCTGTATCCTTAGTTCAGCATTTTGTTATTTCCCTTCCCCTCCACAAATTAGAAATATGTATATACAAGATGCAGGGCAAAGACATCAAATACAGTGAAAACAGGTTATACCGTGGGGGGAGTACATACAAAGAAACAAAAAAAGAAAATCACAAAGTACATTATAAGCAAGAAAGAAAAAAAAAAAACCATGTGTCCCTATCTTGGGGTTCATTTTGCTTAGCATCATCTTATATGGTCATATGTACATAGCTTTTGACCTTTTCTGCTTGTCCTACACATATACTAGTTCTTGCAACTAAGGTAAACCATGGCACCTGTGACTGGGCAGTGCTGTGTCTTCCAAGAGCAGAGGGTGCATGGCTGCAATGGCCCGGGGCCTTTCTCCCTTCCCCTCCACACTGTGGAGAACCAGCCCATCAAGGGAGAGATCATTGAACGCCATCAGCTTCCTCTTGAGCTCCTCAGTGGACCGTCTGACTTCTTCTAGAGAAGGAAGTGTATAACCAGCTGTTTTAAATTTACTACTAGACGGGAGAGTCCTGAAAGTTGAATAACATTGCAGCTCAATTTTATACTATATTATAATATTATATATTATATTTCTCTAGGCAGTGATAAGAAAATGAAGGTATAAATAATTAATTACAGTCAAAAGAGAAAGGCAACTCTTTCATTTCATTAATTGTGATGATGATGAATGACATAGCTACTGGATTTGAGGTCACAGAAGGATGGAATGGAACACATATGTATAACCTGAAAGATGTAACTATGACATCAGATTTAAAAGACACATGGACCTCTGTCACGTAAAACATTAATTTATATTAATTTATAGCAAAAATCGTTTTATGCTCGTGACATTTGCTTGTGCTATAGATGTGCCTCAGGAAAGTCCCTTGCTTCCTAATGGCTTTGGCTCAGGCGGTTCAGGGTGGGATTTGGGGGTCAGTCAGCTGGTCAGTCAGCTTGTCCCTGGGGTCAGTCCCCCCAGGGACAAACAAGCATGAGTGAAAATGCACTGCACCTCACTCACTGATGGCATAGAAAGCTGAGCTGCACTGAAGACCAATAAACACCCATCCACAAATCTCTAAAATACTGTGAAAGCAAAGGTGATATGCAGTTACAAGCCCGAAGGAACTAGAGAGATGGAGGTCTAAATTATACCGATTTTGACCCACGCAGAGTTGGACCTCCCTTGGAAGGTCACTTCCCAGTCACGTGACCTGGGGCAAATTGTTTAGTGTCTTCAGATGGTTCCTTGAAGCTGGAAGTATCTATGTACTGTCTCATAAGCATTATTAGGGTCCCTATCACCTCTGAAGAAACTTTAATTCATTTCTGCTTTTTAACAGTGTGAGGCCATTCTTTTAATTCACTTAAAAGTTCAGATTGATTCTGTGACAATGTTTCCCTGAACTACCACTATAATTCTACAAATGTTAAAAGTCTGCCACGTGGTAGCACCTAAAGCATCTAACGTGGTATCAGCCATACTGAGTTCAAATCCTGCCTCAGGATGAACAGCCTTGAGCTTTTATCTTTTTTTTTTTTCTGGATTCCCAAATGCCATTCTTCTCTCGTTGTGTGGTAACAATTTACCTTTTAACCAATTTACCTATAGAGGGCGGCACACCGCTACATGTTATGTGGTTCCAAGGTGAGCAAGGTGGTCTGAGTGGATCAGAACACTAGGCTGGCTTTCTAATAGTCTAGATTTCCTCATCTCCAAAGTGAAGTAAAAAGACATGTGTCAGTCAGCTTTTCAGAGCTGTGACAAAAGACCTGAGGAAAAGAGGCTTATGGGAGGGAAGGTTTCTGTTGACTTACAGCTTCAGAGGTTTCGGTGCATGGCTGGTCTGCTCCATTGCTCTAGGCCTGAAGTGAGGCAGATCATGGAGGCAGAAGTGAGAGGCAGAGGAGGCTGGCCTCTCGGTAGCCAGGAAGCAGAGAGGAGGGAGGGGAAGGGTGGGGCTGGGGAGAGGGGAGGGGGAGAAGGAAGGAGAGAGGAGGGGAGAGGAAGAGAGAAGAGGGGAGGGAGGAGAGGAGAGGAGAGGGAGGAGGAGAGGGGAGGAGAGGGGACAGGAGGGAAGGAGAAGGGAGGAGAGGAAAGGAGGAGAGGAGAGGGAACTGAGGGGGAGGGGAGGAGAGGAGAGGAGAGGTGAGGGAACAGGAGGGGAGGGGAGGAAAGGGGAGGAGAGGAGGGAGAGGGAGAGGAAGGAAGGGGAGGAGGAGAGGAGAAGGGACAGGAGGGAGAGGGGAGGAGAGGAGAGGGGAAGAGAAGTGAGGGAAGGAGAGGAGAGGGGAGGAGGGGAAGGGAGGAGGAGAGGAGAGGAGACAGGAGGAGAGGAGGGGAGGAGAAGAGGGGAGGAGAGGAAGGGAGGAAAGGAAAGGGGAGGGGAGGAGAAGAGAGGGAAGGAGAGGAGAGGGGAGGAGAGGGGACCAGAGGAGAGGAGGGAAGAAGAGAGGACAGGAGTAAGGACATACCCTACTCCCTCCAGCTTGGCTTCCCCTCTTAAAATCACTCGGACCAAACCATGGAGGAGGAGGAGCTGAGCGCCTTCTCAGCCCCACCACAGGAGTCTTCAGGGGAGGCCTCAGGTTCAGACCATAGCCACTGTGACTACGACTGTTCCCTGGTTAACCCCAGCCTTGCACATTCCGCCTCGGCCCGCGTTCACTCCGTCCATTCACTGACTCATCCTGGACCGTCCCCACACGTGGCTCCTCCCACCACACTCACTCTACCCCTCCCCCATGTCACCACATTCTTTTTTTTTTCTTTTTCTTTTTCTCTTTTTCGTGGGGCTTGAACTCTGGGCCTGGGCGCTGTCCCTCAGCTCTTCAGCTCAAGGCGAGTGCTCTTGAGCACTCAAGCTACAGCGCCACTTCGGGTTTTCTAGTGGTGTATTGGAGATAAGAGTCTCACGGACTTTCCTGCCCAGGCTGGCTTTGAACCGCGATCCTCAGATCCACCAGAGCCTGGCTTGTCACCACATTCTTGCCCCTAAAGGATGATCTCATTTAGTAGCTCTAACAAAGATCTCCAGACTTCTCCTGGAAGTTGTCTTTGTAGTTTCTACACAGCCAAGAGAACAGGGCCACAAGTAGCCAACACCCCCTCCACCCATCCCCCACCCCCTGTCCACCTCTGCCTGTCTGTGGGACTTATTCCTCCCAGGTGTCCAATCAGAGGGATGGGCCGCAAGCTGGGTGAGCCTTTTTTTTATTGAGGGGAAGCCTTCCCTTCTGTGGTGATTGCTTGAAAATTCTCCCCATGTTGTCATTCAAAACAAGAGAAAGCAACCTGTTCCAGAAAGCTTCATTTAGGGCTGCCTTCCATAAGAGACATGTCTTCTCTCCAAGCTCGGTGAGCTCACAGCCTGCATGCTGAAGAAGGGCTTCCAAAGGTGTCAGTAACAGTGGGACTCTTTGCTTGCTTCTAGACACGGTGAGAAGCTGTGTGGCCAAGCTGTTCTTCACCTGCGCCCTCAAGGGCCATTACTGTCTGTACAGTAAGTCCAGCTTCACCCTCGTCAGCCCCAAGCCCGAGCCATGGATCAAGATCATGTTTCTCTTCCAGCAGGTACGGGGCACTGGGTGGTGCGATGCCCTCCATGATCGATCCCCTCCAAGATGGGCCGGCGGTGCACTGATGATCATTGTTACTCAACTATGACTTTGGCAAAAGCCAGTATGCAGATTACAGCAGCACATACAGTTCATCAATAATTTTACTCTAGGTTTTTATATTTTAAGATAAACTTTCTTATAGAGGGAGCTGGGTTATTCATCCATAGGACAAAGCTAGTCTTACCTTGAATTAGCTTTTTTAAAAAAAATTATTTAAGTAGTTGTACAAAGAAGTTCCCATCCTACAAAACAGTATATGAATACAAAGTGTCTGACAACATTGTCACACATGCTCCTAACCCACTCCTTCTCTCACTTTTCTTCTTTTTTTAAAATTGTGATTAGATGATTACATAAATTTCACATATTTTGCAGTATTGTGGTTGAATTCGCTTTTTAAAATGATAGGAGTGAAATCAGAGGTAGAGATCTTGTGTGGCACATAGAAGGCTCTGAGTTGGAACCCCATACTGCAGAGAAAAATGAAAAGCAGTGGAAAATAGCAAATACAAAACAGCAAGAAAAAAAAAACATCTTATTTGGAGAGATAACTTGACTTTTGTCGAGTTAGGCTTTATTTCTATTTCTTCTCTCCCAAACCAACTGATTTTCTTGTGAGCCTTCCCTTTGGGGCAATGGTAAGACATACTAATAAGCTACTTTTTCTTTCTACTGGTTGGATGAAATTTCATTTAAAATGTTGACCTTAACAATGACAACTTCCATGCCAAAGTGTGAATTACCAAAGAGGCTTTTGTTCGGGAACACTTGTCTTAGATACATTAAATTGTTACCTAAAATATCAGTGTAGATTATAAAATGTGGGTCGCTGTGATTTCACACACCATGCTGTGAATGAGGAATTTTGCAGATGGCTGGCTCTCCCACATGGTGATCTCTCCACTCTGGACTTACATTCAAAAGTAAAATGCTTAAAAACAATCGATTCAATTTTACAAAAAGAAAATGGAGGGCTACAGGATGGAGAAGGGAAAACAACACAAAGGAAGGTGAGAAGAAAAAATAAACGAGATGCAATGTTCTATGTTTGAAAATTAAACCAAAGAGTAAGATATTTCTGCGATAAATCCTACAGACATCACCAGTCAAATAATCATATTGTTTTTATAAAGTCAGGCTTATTGAGGACAAACGAATTTCATGATGAAGAACATATCAAGTACTACAGTGATACTATAGTAGTTAGATACGCACTGGCTGTGGCTTCCGGACATCAACTTTTCCAACAGGAAGGAAGTCTTTAAAGATCTCGTAATAGCGTCTCATACAGAGCAACCCAGATTTTGATGTGAATCAAACTGACTGCAAGAACAAACACAGAACATTGATTCCTTTGTTTTTACTTTTCTTGAAATGATGATCTTAGTTTTCTTCCACTTTACTTATATTTGTCAAATAGTTTTCACCAGTGATTTGGTATTCACCTTTGGCTTCATTCTTAAGAGATGTTTGAAAAAAAAAAGAAAGAAAGAAAGAAAAAGAAAGAGAGAGAAAAAAAACAAAAGAAAAGAAAAAGAAGGAAGGAGGGGGGAAGGAGGGAGAGAAAAGAAAAGAAAAAAAAGAAAAGAGAAGAGAAGGAAACTTGGCTTTCCTCTCTGGTAGTCTTATTCTATTGATTTTGTCTCTTCTGTCTGTTTAAGCAAAATCACTGAAGAAGCTCCCCCATGTTTTTTACTGTAACAGTTTCTTTATTTTTCCAAGCCTTTGTTATTATAAAAACCTGGGTGAGTCCTAGCTTGGGGGTAAGTAGCAACCCAACTTTCACTCAGGTGATTACAAACCCAGGGCTACTCTTGGGTGCTGAGTCTGAATTGCTTTTCTGTCAATTTCACACTTCCTGGTCTTTAGACTAATGAGTTTGCTCTTCAAGACAGAGCTCTTTATTGCCCCAGTGAAATTTAAATCACCTGAAAGATCACCCCAAGGCCACGAAGGGTGGTGGGACCGAGCAATCAGTCACCTATGGGGTCCAATCACTAGCTGTCTCTGAACCGAGAGTAATGAGATGCCTCTCGTCTTGATTCAGAGCCTGTTTCCTGAGCCCTTGTCCATACAGAGTCATTCTGTGCAGTTACTCCGAGCCCTGTGGGAGAAGACACAGGCAGGGGGCACCCACAGCTTCGAAACCGCCATGACGCAGTCCACGTTCCCACAGCAAAAGGTAAATGCTTCTCTCTGTGGATAATTACTTTATGTTATTGTGATGATTTTTTGGTACCAGTCCAGCATGAATCAGGACAGCATCCAGGCCCTGATTTCTTTATCTCAAGGCTAGTGCCCTACCACTTGAGCCACAACACCTTTCTAGATATTTCTGAGTAGTGTACAGGGGCTGCGAAGGTGGCTCAGTGGTAGAGTGCTTGCCTTGCTTGCATGAGGCCCTGGATTCGATTCCTAAGCACCACATAAGCAGAAAAAGCTGGAAGTGGTACTGTGGTTCAAGTGGTAGAGCGCTCACCTTGAGTTGAAGAGCTAAAGAGCCCAGAGTACAGGCCCCACAACAGACAGTGGGTCACACCTGTAATCCTATACCCAGGAGGCTGTGATCTGAGGATCAAAGTTCAAAGCCAGCCTGGGAAGGTAAGTCCGTCAGACTCTTATCTCCAATTAACCTCCTGAAAACTGGAAGTGGTGCTGCGGATCAAAGTGGTAGAGCACTAGCCTTGAGTAATAAAGCCTCAAGAACAGTACCTAGGCCCTGAGTTTGAGCCCCAAAACCAAAAAAAAAAAAAAAAAAAGTTGTGCAAATTTATAGGATGTTATGGGATGTTTAAATACATGCATTCAGCATATAATATTCTAATCAGGACAAGAATATGCATCTTCTCAGACATTTGACATTTCCTTGTAAACATCCAAAATCCTTTGTTGAAATATCTAGCACCTGATCACTACCTGGAGACACCCCATTGGGAAGTAGAAGCCCAGAACGCCATCTCTGGTCTAATTATAAGTTGGAACCAACAAACATGCCAATAACTCAAAGTATAAACAAGTAGCAAATGAATTAAAAGTGTGACATCGTGACACTCCATCATATCTCTTTGGGTGATGGAGAAAGAGGCAGGGTGAGCCATGGGAAGGGCTGATGGGAAATTTATTTCTGTGAGTCTGTAAGAGACTAAAGAGACATCCAACTATTTCATCACTATTTTTTGGCTTCAGTTTAAGAATTTGACAAGAAGTATTTGCTTAAAAAGGGAATACCACAATCGAATCAGCATAAAATAAAATGGAATTCCTTGCATATTTCATTCAAATTTTCAATTGTTGCCTCATATCAAGACAATGCATCAGAGTCTCATAAATTTTTCGTTGTGAACCATATTTTTACTGGAGGCATAGTAAATTAAAACTTGGCAGCCTATTTCACATCCTAAGAGATTTAAAAAAAAAAAAACAACTTGGCAACTTGATTTTTCCTTGCTTACAAGCATACTGATTCATCTTTCTCCTATTTCATGCCAATAAATTTCCCTCTAGGGTAAGTTTAACTGCAATGCTTGACATTTCATAATTTCGTTTATTCATGAGTAATAGAAAAACTTTGGTACCTGGAATGTACACTGTGTGGCAAATTTATCTGACCGGGACTTCTCCATCAACTTGGCTCTCTCTACCTTTTATGAAGAGCTCTGCATACAAAACACAAAATAGCTGTGAGAATTGTGCAGAGCCTGCTTTATTTTCACAATACTGAGCCTGTGTGTATGTGTATGTGTATGTACATGCACGTATGCATGCACTAGTGATCTGGAAGTGATGGGCCCTTGTGCATCCGTTCCTGCAATGAGGCTTTGCCTCAGAGCTGGGAATCCAGGCACTGGGAAAAGAAGAAAAGCAGTTCTGAGAAAATGCCCAAGCATCCAGACTATAACCTTCTGCAGGATTTGTTATAGTAGTTGCCTTTTAGTGTGTGCATTTGTGTGTATGTGTGTGTGTGTGTGTGTGTGTGTGTGTGTGTGTGTGTGTGTGTGTGCCAGTACAGGGACTTGAACTTAGGACCTTACACTCTCACTTGACTTTTTTTTTGCTCATGGATGGCACTCTACCACTTGAGCCACAGCTCCACTTCCAGCCTTTTGCTGGTTACCTGGAGAAGAGTTTCTTGGATTTGTTTGACCAGGCTGACTTGATCTACTCAGATCTCAGCCTCCTGAGTAGCTCGGATTACAATTGTGACCGTCAGCTCTCAGCTAGGACTTGTTTTTGGATAGAATCTTGGACATTTAAAGCTGAACTTGATCATAAAGATCTATTAAGTTAGTGCTGAGCATGGTGGTTCCTCCATTATTCCAATATTTGAAAGGCTAGTCAGGAGGATTACAAGTTCAAGACCAGCCTTGTAGAAGTATCCACTTAGAGTGCCCATGGTCCATTGCTGAAGCTTGGACATGGCCAAGCCCTTCTTCAGGAGACCCTCAGGAGAGAGGGGCAGACCAGCTGGTGTTGGGCCTGATGTCACCACGGTGTGTGAGCAGCTCTAGCTCTGACACAGATTTTCACCATCCCTTCCCTTCTGGAGTGCACGAGGGAAGCAGCCTTGTTCATGCACTGAGGTGGTTGATGCTCACTGTCGAGAGCATGCTGCCTGCCCAGCACTGAGCCACCTGCCCAGCAGGAAAGGGCAAACTGGATTGCTCTGCCCACTTGAGACCTGCACTTTTACAGAGCCTTCATTTATCTAGATTTTGTTTAGGGGGTGTCTATTTATGTAGGCTGGTCTTGGACTCAGAAAAGAATTGCAATTGTATTGTGCGTTTCAATATCTAGAGATACCCTTTATTTTTTCTTTCAAAAGATTTTCATCTGTGGATCTTTCTATTTTTTTTATCATCACTTTATCTCAGAGATCACCCTGCTAAACATTAAATTGGAACTCAGCTCACCTCAGTTAGGAAGTACTGACATATTAACACACTCTTCATTAACATATTTCTAACATTCATTCATCCCACCCAGGAACCAGACATATCACTATGTTTATTCACGTCTCATTTCTCCCCATGGCTCTATGACCCGGAGAAAATTGACTTCTCTTCTACTTAATGTAGTCATTTATAAAATGGGGACAATAGCATGTTTGTTTCATTATGTTGTTGGGATGAAGTGACATTAAGCATATAGGAGAATTCCTGGAGGGTTTTGTATGTCCAGTGAAATTCATCTGCAAGTATTGTTATTAATGTTGTTGATTCTGATAGGTTTCTTGTTTCATTTTTTTTCTTTGGCGATGCTGGGAATTGAATTCAAGGCCTTGCATTTTCTAAGCAAGTTCAAGACAATACCTTTTTACTTCATAATTTGCATTTCTAGGAATCCGTTCCAAAGAAATAATCCAAAATATGACCAAAACTCAAGACGCACACAGAAAAGAATTGGGGTATGGTTATCAAACAATTTAAATGTCTAAGGATGAGAAAATAAAATCATGAGCTATCCATTTAAAAGAATATTCTGGGCTGGGAAGGTGGCTCAGTGGTAGAGCACTTGCCTTGCATGCATGAGGCCCTGGATTCGATTCCCCAGCACCACATAAGCAAAAAGAAAAAATAAAATAAAATCTACATATATTTTAAAAAAAGAATATTTTAAAACCATGAAATACCATAGTTACCAGTGATATTTTAATAACATTAAACCTAAGAGTATAAGTAACATATTTTAAGATATACACACTTTTAGAGGACTGCCAAAGGAAAATGTACAAAAATGTGAACATTGCCTGGCTGTGGAAAGTCTTCGTGTGTGCATTGCTTTTATAGTGAAGTAACGTCGTAATATTGAGCCATGTACTTAAAGGAGGCTCCATTCTGGATGATCCAGGCCTATTGTGAAATATGGATTTCAGGAAAAGGAGGAAAAGGCCCTGACTTCCTGAAGAAACGAACAGGATCTCCAGAGGACATCAGTAATTCTACCCCAGACCCTGCCACTCGGCCCTGCAGGGGGAGCCAGGCTCTCGCCACCTTCGGTGGAGCGGACAGCTGCAGCCGCCAGCCTGCCAGGGCCAGCTCTGGAGAGAGAATCCCCAGCTTCCACATGTGCTGCACTTCCCAGAGCAGGGCAAGTTCCAGACGCCAGGGAAACAAGGTCTAAACTATGCCCATCACGGAAACAGAAAATAATCGAGCCTACTGCTGCAGTAAGATGTCCCTAGCTGGCTACAGTTTGGATGTTTCTGTCCCGATTGCTGCGAGCACACCCAGGGCGAGCGGCTAAAGTGGCAAAGCTGACCTGGATGGAAGGGAAGGAGACCTGGTGATGTGTCCCAAGGATGGGTTGGAGTGTCTGGAGTTAAGGTGTTCGTGTGCTTGGATAAATAAATGCACAAGTCAGTAGATAGTGAATTTATTTTATATGAGAGGATTTAGGGCCACGTGTATGGTGGAAGCCATAGGCATCATGGACGGTGGACCTCCAGGAGCAGAGGGAGCTCCTTAGACAGATGAGTTATGATGAACCTCCCTTTCAGAGCAAGCTCTGTGGGGTGTGGGCTTGGGGATTTTGGAAGTTAGGTGGTGGTGGGGGGCATCCATTTCAGGCTGTGAGCTAAAATGAGCAGAATTTGATAGCAGAGTCTTAGCAGCCAAGGTGAAGTAAGGATTAAAAGGAATGAGAGGCCAGGCCAAGGGTCAAACCCAGCCACTAGGGGGAGGTAGTGAGGTTGGTGAACCAGAGGCCGAAATCTGGGGTTTGGGAGCCACAGATAGATGAAGGTGGGGTGGGGGTGCAGATGCAAACACCTAGCGCTCTCTTTGCTCTGGGAGGCCAGAGCTAAAATACAAGTTCTGGCTTAAAAGAAGAAGATGGTTCCATGTGGGAAAAATGGAATGAGTGACAAGGGAGGGAGGGAGAGAAGGAGGAAGGGAGGGAAAAGGGAAGAAAAGAATCACAGTGAAACCCTGCCAGGTCCATCCTGTTAGCCAAAAATATATTTTGCACTGAGTGCCAGTGGCTCCACCTGTAGTCCTAGCTACTCACGAAGCTGAGATCTAAGGATCACAGTTCAAAGCCAGCCTGGGCAAAGTCCCCAGCAGACTCTATTTCCCATAAACTACCAGAAAACCAGAGGTGGCTCTGTGGCTCAAAGTGGTAGAGCACCAGCCTTGAACAAAATTGCTCAGGGAGAGTACCCAGGGCCTGAGTTCAAGCCCCACA